TTCTTTTAAAGAAAATGTATGCAAGGGCTGGAGAGATGACTTAGTGGTTAAGAACACTCGCTGCTCTTGTACAGGACCCTAGTTCAGTTCCCAGTGACTACATCAGGCAGCTCACAACTGCCTGTCACTCCAGCTCCATGGGATCTCATGGCCTCTTCTGGCTTCCGTAGGCATCTATATACACATGCACACACAGCTAAACACACACACACACACACACACACACACACATAAATTAAAAATAATAAGTCATCTTTAAAAACAGTTAATTAAATAAATTATGTGTGTCAAATGGTTTTATGAGAAAGAGGAAACTGGTGAATCAAAACTGGGACTATACACCTTTAATCACAGCACTTGGGAAGCAGAGGCAGCTAGATCTCTGTGAGTTCAAGGCCAGCCTGGTCTGCAAAGTGAGTTCCAGGACAGCCAGAGCTGCTACACAGAGAGACCCTGTCTAAAAAACAAACAAAAACACAAAACTGGGAGTGGAAGGTGGGATGATTTAAATCCCAAAGCCTTGGAAATGTTCTGATACCTTAAAAAAGGATCATCTTATTGGCCTTGCCTGTACCACTGTGAAAGAGAGAGAGATTCATGATGGATAGATGGTCATTGTTGGTGCCTGAGGACATGATGGCAGTAAGGAGAGATTCATGACGGATAGATGGTCATTGTTGGTGACTGAGGACATGATGGCAGTAAGGAGAGATTCATGACGGATAGATGGTCATTGTTGGTGCCTGAGGACATGATGGCAGTAAGGACAGAGTCATGAGGGATGGATGGCCATTGTTGGTGACTGAGGACATGATGGCAGTAAGGCAGCAGCAAGGCAGCGTTGAAGGTGCTGATACAGATGTGTGAGAGTGGATTGCAAGTGACATTCCCCAGCAAAGCAGCAGAGGCAGAAATTAAAGCTATTTTTTAAATAAGTGTCTTAATTCCTGGTATGGCTTTCATTGCTGGCTAATTCTATTCTTCAAGCAGTGTGACTCTCTGATCGATTGCTTTCTAGTGGCTCTTCATAATCTGTATCTGAGAAATGAGAATTGAAAAGCCCCCCTTTTTAAAAAGGGGTATGACTAATATGAGATCAAATTACCCTTTGACTAGAGTGTAATAGAATGCAATTTTAAATTTAGACTTCCTCTTTTATTTACTGCATATGTGCTAGGTTTCTTGAGTTTTAATTTTATGCCTGTGTGTGTGTGTGTGTGCACCTGAATATGTTCACTGTATGTGTGGAGCAGGCCAAGGAGGTCAGAAGAGGCATCATTTTCCCTGGTATTGGAGTTACAGGCTCACTTTGCCTGTATTGGAATTATAGGCTATTGTCAGCTGCCCTGTGGGTATTAAGAACGGAACCTAGGTCCTCTGCAAGAGTGGTAATTGATTGAGCCATGTCTCCAGCCCGTGTTATTGTTTCGGGTGGATTTATCAAGTGTTTTTCATGCTTAATAAAATAAGCCTTGATCCCTATTTTTTGCAGTGAAGTAGTTTGTTTGGGCGATGACTTTAATCCTGTCTTATACGTAATGTTTAAGCCTGTATAGCAACTGTCAGAGATGATTCGGGTCATAGAATTTCAAAAAGAGAAAGACTGTGAACTGTCACATAGGCAAGTTTCCTGAAAGACTAAAATTAGTTCTTTTCTCTCCTTCAGTATGTTGCCGTATGTAATTGGCTGGGAACCAGAGAATTGGATTGTGATCAGAAAAGAAGAAAGGGCAGGATGAGGGAATGGGTTGAGAAACTGTACACAACTTTTGCAGGATGCCTTACCTTGTTGTTGTGGTTACTTTCAGATTTGTATTCATACAAGGATGCCCTTGTATTTTTCCCTCAAGATTTTACTATTTCCCTGAAATGGCAGACCCAGAGGGGGACAGAGAAAGGCTAGACTTAGGTCTGAAGGAGAGTCCAGAGGGTTCATCACAGCCCCAAAATCTGAGGAGAGGCCTTGTGGATGAACACTTGTCTAGGGAGATGACATGAAAATGTTGTTCATGCCACATGTGAAATTGCAACTAGGACAGAGTCCAATACAGCACAGGACAAGGCAGAGTGTTTGTTGTCATTGAGGGCAGAGTTAAGGGAAGCCATGACAACTGGTTCTGAGATCTTCATCAGGCTCTGTGCATGGGTGCTCATGGGACCTCAGATCCTCCTGTTTTACATCTCGGATCTCGTCCTTCGGCACATGGCTAACAGCACAATGGCAGACATGAACCCCCTCATGTTTGTTTTTAGTCACAGTCTCTCCTTTGGAAAGAGCATGCCTCAAGGCTGGAGCCCACTCTCCTGTCTTCTTCCCTCGCTTCTGCCTCTCACAAACCTGCAGTCCAAGATGGTGCTGGCTTGTTTCATTTCAACTTGACACAAGCTAGAGTCATTTATGAAGAGGGAACCTAAACTCAGAAGATATCTTGCCCTTGCCAGACTGGCCTGTGGGCAAGTCTGAGACATTATCTTGATTGAAGGTTGATGTTGGAGGTCCAGCCCATTGTGGGTGCTGCCACCTTTAGGAGGGTAGCCCTGGAGTCCCGGGTTCTATAAGAAAGCAGGTTGAGCAAACCAGTAATCAGCACTCCTCCATGGCCTCTGCATTATGAGTTTCTGCCTCCAGTTTTCCTGGCCTGTTTGTGCTCCTTCCTTGTCTTCCCTCAGTGATGGACGGCGATGTGTAAGTGTAAGCTTGGAATAAACCCTTTCCTCCCCAAGTTGCTTTTGACCATGGTGTTTTATCCCAGCAATAGAAATTCTGACTAAGACAAAGGAGCTCTCTGAAATCAAGGAATTCCCTGACCTCTATGCTGGTTTCCACAGCAATATTAGCTTGAACCAATGTATCTGGGCTATTCTTTGCAGATACATACATTCTGAACCATCCTTTATAAATGATGAGACCCTGGAGTCCCTCTTCTAGACCCAGTCTTTCTAGAATTGACTATTGCCTCAGGGACAATCTTGAGCAAATTGAGAGGCTCAAGATATTCTTGGGATCCTCCTCTGACTAGCATTTTTTTGGCTTAGTAATTGAGTCTTTAAAATATTTTGATGTAATTAAAGCTGAAAAGGTATGACTGCTTGATCTCATCTGTATGTCAGGCCGACCCTTCATTAACAAACAACATTTCTACTGACTTGGTGATCAAATGCCCTCTTGTTCCTTGCAGGAGAGAATTAAGATAGGAAATAGGGGTTGGGGCTTAGTCAACATACTTCTTTGTTTGACTCTTCATTTTATATTTTTTCTCTTTAGCTTAATTCTCTGTAGTAAGCATATAATATTAATACTGTAACAAATCAGAAAAATACATTATGATGGATGCACATAAACACAGAATATAGAGTGCTTGTGTGTGGCGGGGTTCTTGTTGATGTGTATACACAGATGCACGGTGTACCTATGTATGTTGAGACCAAAAGTTGATGCTGGGAACCTTCCTCCATCATGTTTCACCCACCTTCCTTTCTCTCTCCGTCCTTCCCCCCCTTCTCTCTCTCTTTCTATTTTTGATACAAGATCAAAAATAATTCTGGCTGGCCTAGAACTTGCTACATAGACCAGGCTGGCCTCAAATACGTAGAGATCTGCCTGCCTCTGCCCCACAAGTGCCATGATTAAAGGCATACACCACCATGCCCAGCTCCCACATTTATTTATTGAGATATAGTTTGGGGGACCATCTATACCCCTACCTCCCAGTGCTGGGGTTATAGTCATATACTACTATTGTCCAGGTTTTTAAGTGGACACTGGGGATCTGAATTCAGTTCCTCGTGGTTGTATGCAAGTCCCTTATCGACTGAGCTGTTTCTAGGCTCCAGAATATAATTTAATATAATTTAAAAATGAAGCTTCACAACTTTGAAGTTGTAATGATGGTAATGGCATCTGATGCTTATGTAGCACTTTACCAGTTAATAGCTGTTTCCTGTGTATAGCATTGGCGGTGGGACCTCAGTTCAGAATATGACAGTGCCACTCTAAGATGCTTGACAGTGCCACTCTAAGATGCTGAGAGGGTCAGGTGCTAACCTCTTCTTAGCCTCTGCTTCACCTCAGCCCTGGTCTCACAAAGTCATTGTTAGGCTAGATGATGGGAAATGTTACACAATGTTACTTTTTTTTTCTTGTGAAAAGTCAGGGCATGTGGGATTAGCATCACTTCCCCACAGGGGAAAGCTGTGCTTAGAGATGAAGTGGAATGACAAGTGACTCTTGCAGTATTTCTGCCAGGACTGGAAAAATCCTGGGTTCCCTGGGACCTTTCGGAAAGGTGGGGCCAACCCGACCTGAAACACCAGTTGAACAATGGGTTTAGCTGACCCCTTGTGGGGCTGTCAGCGTTCCCTAGAGTCACACACACATAACCAGTGTCTGAAAGCTCGGTGGCAGCTGAGCCACCAACAGGGAGGGCTCGAGTCATTCTTCCTTCTTTTTCATTTCGATGCTAAGTTGGAGGAAGAGGTGATGAGACTATGCTGGTAATCGTTTCTGTAAACTTTCTCATCTCAAAATGAAAAGAAGTCCCCTGTACATCTCCGTGAGCGAGCGTGCAGCCTGTAAAAGCTGTTTGGAAAGCCCGGCTTGTTAGTTACTGTGGCTTTGAGAAAGGCCACACTGAAACCATCTCAACGGCAGGGTGCTGGCTGGCCCTTGTCCTATTTGGTCGGGAGACGTGTTGACACCTCTCATCAGCTTGTGACTCTGTCATTTCTACTCAGCAATGACATCTCCTGTTCCTCACTAGAGCTCCCTCCGCCCACCATCCTTTTACCATTCTTTTTCTTCTAACCCCCCCCCCCCCCCGCGGCAAACCATTTTAAAAAACGACCCATTGCTTTTAAAAATGAACCGAAGTGTTAAAATGTTGGAGTTTGGAACAGACTCTCATCACTCTATAATTGTGTTTTTTTGTGTGTGTGTTCAGTTTTGAGAGAGGTAAATGATGAAAACGAAAATTTCCCAGTAAGTACTGTAAAAGGCATAATTCACTTTATAAAAGAAATGTTTATTCACATATGGGCTTGTTAGTGATATTTGACTTAGATTTGTGAAATGTTAGGAGTCAGTTGGCCTGAAAATCTCTGAAGTCACATTGTTGAGAAGACAAATTAAAATGCAAACATTTGATACATCCTAAGGCTCCCAGTTTGGCAGACTTCAAAGTTTATTGACTGAGATAGTTTGGAAAACCAACATGAAAGAATTATAAAATCATGTCTATAGGTTATGATGAAAACATCTTATTCTAGGGAAAAAATAAATAAGGGGGGGGAGATTTAGAGACTGGACCACAGATAAGAGAAATATTTCACGCAGGCATTTTAATTTTTAAGGAATATATGATTATTTTGTCCTTTTAGGGAGAGGCCCTCATGTAGATCAGGTTGGCCTCTAAGTCATTTTGTAGTTGAGGATGACCCAGAACTTGTAAGTCTCCTGCTTCTACCTCCCAAGTGCTGGGATTGCAGGTGTGAGTCATAGACCCTGGTTTAGTCTGGGGCTAAAGCCAGGGCCTTGGGTATGCTAGGCAAGCTCTGCTGAGTCACAGCCTCAGCCTTACTTATGGGTCATTGTTACTGAACTTGGCCTGTATTTTAGTTCTCTTAAGAGTTTTAAGCACCTGTCTCACAAAATGTCCACAGGGATGCCATGGAGGCATAGCAGCCCCTCTCTAATTGGCATCTGGCCTGGGGCCTTTTGCAGTAATACAAATATTACTTGTTTTTGTTCTTCCAAAATTATACTTTGGTGTGTGCCTTTAATTCCAGCACCCAGGAAGCAAGGGGCATGTGGGTCTCTGCGAATTAGGGACCACCTTGGTTTATATAGTGAATTCCTGGGTATCCAGGACTACATGGTGAGACACTGTTTCAAAAACAAACAAATTCACTATGCAATTAGTGGCTAGGGAGAGGCCTCCGTAGTTATAAGGGCTTCTGCTTTTCTAGAGGACCTGAGTTTGGTTCTGAGCCCCCAGTCAGGCTGGTCACAACAGCCGGTAACTCCAGTTCCAACGAGTCAGATGCCTCTTCTGGTCTCCATGGACACCTGCAGACATGAAAACCATTAAAAACATTTTAAAAAAGTTAAGTAAGTAAAATTTAAAACATTTGAAGGGGGCCACTAAGATGGCTCAGTAGGTTAAGATGCCTGCTGCCAAGCCTAATGACTTGAGTTCAATTCCCAGAGCCACATGATAGAAGGTGAGAACCGACTCCTATAAGTAGTTCTTGGACCTCTACACGCATGTTGTGACATGCTCGTGCAGCTCTTCCATCAGTAAATGTAAACAGTTAAAATATGTCATTCCAATGCCTTGAAGTCTTTTTTAAGAGAGGATTTTGGGGCTGGGGAGATGACTCCACAGTTAAGAGCACTAGCTGTTCTTTCAGAGTACCTCGGTTTGATTCCTAGAACGCACACAGTGTTCACAAGTGTCTGTAACTCTAGTCCTGTGGGACCTGATGTCCTCTTCTGGCCTCTATACATACCAGACATGCAAATGCTGTACAGATGTACATGTTGGCAACACACATGCATGTGTGCGTGCGCACACACACTTTAAAGAGAGAGGGGTTTACCAAAATGACAGTAATAGTAATAGTTAGTTCCACTAACTCAACTCAAAGTGGAAAGGGAGATTGAACTCAGGTCCTAGATCAAGGCACTTTTGAAGGAAGTGAGTTCATGCCCCTAAGTACTTCAATCAGCAACTGCAGTGTTATTATTTTACTCTAAGCTCCCGTAATTAGTTATTCTCTCAAATGTTTTATTTGTTTGTTCTGAGACAGAGTTTGCTATTATTAAGAGGCCTCAAACTTTGCCTAATCCTCTGGCATACAGCTCCCAAGTGTGGGGATTACAGACTTCATCATCGTACCTGGTTTATCCTGTGCTGGTGACCAAACTCAGGCTTTGGGCATCCTAACCAACCATTCTACTAAATGAGGCACTTCCTCCTCCCTGCCATCATTATTACATGTGCACACACACATGGAAGTCAGAGGACAACTTCTTGGAAGTTGGTTTTTCTCCTTCCATCATGGGTTTGGGATCAAATTAAGATTTGGGGGCTTGCAGGGCGAGCACTTTTACCTCCTGAGCTAGCTCTTCTTACCTAGTTTCTAATCTCTAGCATGAAATTCATACATAGAGTTTGGATGAAATGGTTTTGCTTTGTAAACATGGCACACCTGAGCACTTCTAGCAGTGTGAATTCACCCTCCTTTCTTAAGAGGTGACTTGCACTCTGTTTCCCTGGATGTGGATGGGCCAGTGACAGGGCAGAAATGAGATTTTAAGACGTACATAGTGGAAATCATAGCAATTGATGTAGTGTCTCCTGGAAATGGCTTTCCCAGGGTCCTTAGTTGACATGTTAAATGGTCGGCCAGCCAGAAGTCACTGTGTTGGAGACACCCCGTGGAAAGATCTGTAGATGCCCAAGGAGTTCAGACATCCTAGCCCGACATGCTGTAGTCTTCCCACCACCAACCTCCAGACATGAGACAGCCAGCCTTCAAATTATTCCACCCTCCAGCCTTTGAGCCAGCCCCAGCTGATGCTGTGTGGAGGACAGGACCACCTGTCTCCATGGAGCCCTGCCCAACTGCAAAGTAGTTGGGAAAGTAGGCACAATGAGTGTACCCACCATATCCATGGATTCTGAGTGCATGGATTCAACCAAGCATACATGAAAAATACCTGGGAAAGATGAGTATGTACTGAACTCAGAGGACTTTTGTTGTCACTATTCCCTAAATAATAAAATATAACTACTATACACACAGCTTTTACATGAAGCTCTCTTGCTTGTGTGTGTGTGTGTGTGTGTGATGTGTGAGAATAGGTGAAGGTCAGAGGTCAATGTTAGCTGTCTTAATTGTTCTTATTTGAGTGACAACATCTCTAAATGAACCTTGAGTTTGCTAATTTGGCTGAACTGGAAGGTCATTGAGCCCCAGGGAGCAAAGGAAGTCCTATTGACTGTGTATTGTCATAAGTATAGCCATGTTAAGGAGCAAAGCCTCAGAACTATGGGGATGGCAAAGCCTTCTTCTCTAAATGCAAATATTGGCAGGATGTGTAAAAACTAGCAACTACAGCTTCCTTGGCCCCAGGATGTTTACAGCCTGAGGCTTCTCCCTGCAGAGACCTCCTACAGGGGCTGGCTAACTCCTCCCCTCTCTGCAGTACAGAAAAAAGGTGCTGGGTTTCTGGGTTGTGGTGAGTACTGGTACAGCTCTGTCAGCTTATGCTCTGCCCACCAGGTTTTCTGTACATGTGTTGGTGTCTGTCCTTCCTTCATTCCCTCACCAGCTCTAGTCAGGTTTCCAGGACCTGACTGGCTTCAAGGATTGAGGTATCCCCTGTCTTTCCCAATGCTGCCATGCCTGGCTTAAATTTTTTTCTTTATTTTTATTTTTATTTGTTTTAACAATTTATTTTTTTTAAAGATTATTATGAATACAGTGTTCTGTCTACATATCTGCTTGCATTACAGAAGAGGGCACCAGATCTCGTTACAGATGGTCGTGAGCCACCATGTTGTTGTTGGGAATTGAACTCAGGACCTCTGGAAGAGCAGCGAGTGCTCTTAACCTCTGAGCCATCTCTCCAGTCAAATTTGCTTTTCTTTAAAGATTTATTTTTTTTCACATGTATGAATTTTTTGCCTGTGAGGGAGAATGAGAATATGACAGTTCCAACCATATGGTTGAAGAAACCATATTGTAGATATGAGGGCAGATACAGCCAGAGGCACCTGGAAGAATCCAGAGTGAACTCAGTCAGGAGAGGAGAGAGGAGGTAGAGGTGGAAAGTGAGAGGAGAAGAAAGTGGGGGTGTGGGCAGGGAGGTGGCAAGCAGACCAAGAGAGGAGTCAAGAAAGCAAACGAGAAGCAAGAGACAAGAACCAAGAGAGCGCATGGCCAAAATGACAAGGTTGTTTAGGAAAGAGGGGGGGGGCAGAGCCCCTGGGATACAGAGTATTGTTGGTTGGTATTTTACTCTTTACTCTTGCCACCCAGCCCTCAAACACATAGATGCATGGAGGCTTAGTCTTACTTTTGAATGCCCAGCCTTAGCTTGGCTTGTTTCTAGCCAGCTTTTCTTAAGCTATCCTGTCTACTTTATGCCTCTGGGCTTTTGCCTTTTTTATTTCTGTATACCTTTCTTTACTTCTTTTTTCTTGGTGCGGGGGAGGGCTGTTTCAAGACAGGGTTTCTCTGTGTAGCTTTGGAGCCAGCCTGTCCTGGAACTTGCTTTGTAGACCAGGCTGGCCTCAAACTCACAGAGATCCTCCTGCCTCTGCCTCTCGAGTGCTGGGATTAAAGGCGCGTGCCACCAACATCCGGCCTTTCTTTACTTGCTACTCAGTGACTTGCTGTGTAGCTGGGTGGCTGGCCCCTGATGTCCTCTTCTCCTCCTTTTCCCGCTCCTCCATCTCTCCTTCCCAGATTTCATCTTCTGTTTATTCTCTCTACCTGCCAGCCCAGCCGATCCTTTCTACTGCCTTGCTATTGGCTGTTCAGTTTTTTATTAGACCAATCAGGTGTTTTCAACAGGCAAAGTAACACAAGCTTCACAGCTGAGCAAATGCAGCATAAATGAATGCAACACATTTTTACACCATTAAAACAAATGTTCCACAGCATACACAAATGTAACACATCTAAAGATCAAGTCACAGATCAAGCCAAGGGGGTGAGAAAAGTGTTGCTGGCTTTGTATGTGTTTGTGTTCCATACACAGGGTGGCAAGAAACTGATGGCAGCTACTTTGGAGACAGATAGGAGGAACAGCTGGCCCTGAATGGGAAAGAATGGTGGTATCATTGTTTTTATAGAGACCTCCTATTGGGGCCTAAACTGGTCTTAATCTCATGGCAATCCTGCCTAAGCCTCCTGAGTTCTGGGATTATAACTACAAAACCTGGCAAGAGAAAGGTTCTTTTTGTTTTGTTTTCTTTACCATTTCCACCTCCCTAAGCAGGGTCTACTTTTGTAACACAGGCTGGCCTGGAGCTCACTGTGCAGCCCAGGGTAGTTTAAAACTCTCCACCTTCCTACTTCAGCCTTCCAAGTGTTGAGATAACAGAAGTGTGCCACTATGCATGGCCCAAGAGGGTGGTTCTAACCCTGAGACTGCCTTAATTGTCTGGCTTAAGTGATAGTCGAGGGAACGGCAGCCGAGAACATGCTATAAGATCCCGCCCTGTTCTAGAAGTTACAGCGTAATCAAGATAGAGACCCACGAGCTTAGGAGTGTGGGAGGGAGAGGCTATAATCAGATGCTGGATGGTGAAATACTCATTCGTGTTCTTCTGGGTAGTGGCTAGCCTGAGCTATTGTTTAAAATAGAGCCGTGGACCTGAGTGACATCCTCAGGGGTCATGACCTTAGCTTCTCGTTCACCTTCAGGACTCAAGCCTGCTGTACCCACAAGTCTTCTTCAGCCCCACAGGATAGAAACCCACCATACCCGTCCCATTCAATTTTGCTATCCTTTACAGGGACTGAGAGCTTTAGAGGGAGGACTGTAAAAACCCTGGAGGCTGGTTTCTGTAACTCATATAAGCTCACTACAAGATAAGCCTCGAAGATTATTGAAATAGCTCTCTTTTTGTTGCTAATAATCTTTGTGTGTTTTATCACTTTGAAATTTATAATTCTTTCAGGCAGCATTCATTCTATGAAATGCCATTTTAAGGTCTCTTTCTCAAGGTTCACTGAGTGACCCGGAACAAGTCTGTGGGTCTAAGGTAGGTCTAACATTCAAGCCCTTTCTGGTTGCACCTGCTCCTGGGATTTCAGCACCAAGCCCCAGGTCCTGGCAGACTCATGTGTGCCTGGCTCTAACTCGTTTCACCTGTGTGGCGGAGAACCAAAACAATGTGAACCAAGATCCCTCAGATCCTAGATTTTTTTTCCGGGCGCTAAACTACCACCTGCTCCCTAGGCCCTTCCTAGTCACTGCCAGGATCCCTTGACCCCTTATAACTAAATGTCTCCCCAAACTAAGACACAGGATAAACAGGACACATATGCTCTATGTCAAGAACTAAACTTACTGCAACTATTAAAATACAGACTAGCTGGTAGACTGTTTTTCCTTCATTCTTTCTATAAATTCTTACCAGATCTCCTTCAAATTGCCCCAAACCACAGTCTTTCTTCTTTTTCAGATACTTGACACCGCCTTCCAACGCATCTAGGCTGTCAAAATGTAAGCAACAGGCAGTCCTACAGTCCCACACTTGGAAAGCTGAGGCAGTGCAACGAGTTTGAGGCCAGCCTGGTCTATGGAGAAAACCAACCTTTATCTTAATCAAAACAAAGCAAAACCTGTAGTCCATGGAAATCAAGGAAAGGTATTCTATCAGTTCTTTGTTCTTGAGACAGTGTCTAGCTATGTAGGCTACGTAGCTCAGGCTGGCCTTAAATAGATGCCTCCCTTCCTTGGTGCTGGGATTAACAGGCCTCAGCAACCACATGCCGATTTACATGTTAAGAGATAAGACATGCATCAAACCAATCCTCTGAGCGGCGGTCAGGCAGTTCTGAAACCTCAGGGTGTGTGTGTGTGTGTGTGTGTGTGTGTGTGTGTGTGTGTGTGTATGTGTGTGTATGTGTAAGGGAGGGCGCTCGAGGTGCAAAGAAGGCCCTGAAGGCAGTGAAGGCTCTTCTGTAATGTGTTCAGTCCTGCTGTTCTGCAGTTCCCCTTCTGACCACAGTATTCAGTAAAACAAGGCACACAGGACGAGATAGGGAATACAGGGGTTGCAGAGCTTCTGTAGTATAGTGAGGAGTAGTAGCACCCAGCTCAGTGGTAGAGTATTTGGGTGTCATGTGAAAGGACCTAACACGTCTTGGGTTTAATCTTCTGTGTTTTTTTTTTAAAGGAAGAAAATGAAATTTTGGGGTATGTGTACCCACACATAACAAAATTGTTCAGAATTTGACAACCAAGAAAAACTTCATGCTACCAAATAAGATAAATTGTGGGACACTTGTCCATGAAAATCCTTTCCCAGGAACACCTCACCTTATTATCTGCCATTGTCTGGGTTCAAAGTAATGTTAAAAACAAAAAAAAGTAGGGTGTGGTAGTCCTCAGCTGTAATCTCAGTACTCTGCTTGTGGGAGCTGGAAGCAAGGGAATCAGGAGTTTAACGTCAGTCTCAGCTACTTAGCAAGTTCAAAACCAGCCTGGACTACCTGAGACCATGTCAAACCATGTCAAAACCAAATCAAGAAAAACTTCCTGTTCTTAAGGCACATGGAATAAGAATGCACCATATGACTAAGATTGGGATTTTGAATAGACCAAAGCAACCTGGAGGGTTCTGGAAACTGCATGAATATACCTTAAGTTAAGTTGAAGTAAGGGGAGAAGTGTCAGTGTTCAGACAAGGGACGAGCCTGGCCTATGAGTTAACAAGACCCTCAGGAAGCTTGTCCGGGTGGCCCCCACACAATGGATGCTCATCATTACTGGCTGCTACACATTGGGAAGTCACAGGAATTGAGATAACCGGACTTGAGAGTGTTGTGCATGCGGCAGGTCCTGACGACTTCCCTCACAAGACTCCCACGGGGCAATGTGTGTGCAGCTCTTAACACCCACTTCCTTTTCTGCAGAAACGCCCTCTCTTCTAATGCTGCCGACCTAGACACTCTCTCCTCTCTACCAGAGCTAACTGCCCGCTCTGCTGCCTCAACCGCATCCCACGTACTTCCTCAAATCCCTACAGCCCACTTTGGAGCCTTCTCTGCTGGATCGGGATCAGGATAGGGGGTCTCAGAGTGCTCCTGGGGACACTCCCTGCAGGGTGTGGTGACAACGATCTGAGCTGGCAGGCCCAGCAGGGGCCCACGTGAGCTGTTCCCCTGCTCGCCCTTGGCAGTTCTCAGACGGGTGCAGCGGGGCTGGGGCTAGGGAGTGCCTGGGAACAGTCAGTGTGTGCCTGGCCTGGCGCTGTGCCTTGCAGCTGACGGGAGGGTGGGGTCGCCCTGCCCTGCTGGGAGCTGCTGACCGGAAAGTGATTGGGGATGGGAGCCCCTAGGCTTTTTCCGCTCAGAGTCTGGGGACCTTGAGTGTGAGGACAGCATTGCTATCTGGGAGCAGGGAGAGACTCAAAGACACTTTTCAAGGCTCTTTTCTGTCTGCAACCTGCCCTGTGACCTTTCTTAAGTCCGTTGATCTGAGGCCTTAGTTTCCTCAATTGTCCTGAGGGGGATGAGGCCTGAAAGAGGCCAAGAAGGAAACACATGTCAGGTCACATTACATTCACTCCTTGTCTAGTGAGTATTTAGGATCCCCGACCATGTCCTCATCCTGGGGTATGGTGCCTAGTGCCAACATTGTGCAAGTTGGGTGCTCAGGGAGTGGGCAGCGAGCAGGCTTGGCCTCATTGTCCTCACTGGACTACATATTGGCTACAAAGGTCATGAGAAGAGGCTAGGTCTATGACGTACTTCCTGTAGTCCCTGGCACAGAATGGGTTCCTAACCCAAGCTACAGGCTTCCGGCTGGCTGCATAGAGGGTTTGGAGACAGCTGATCCTCTGCAAGCAGCCTGGTCTGGAGAAGTGGAAACAGACCTCACAAGCTGGGTGTGCACAGTACAGAGCAGGGCTCCGTTTCCATGCTGCTGGCTAGCCAAGAAGGAATGCGATTACTCATTAAGCACACTCCCATTGATCCCTGCCTTAGCAAAGCTTCTCAGACTTGCTTTCAAATCTCTAGTCCAACCCCTGCTTTAAAAAAAAAAAAAGGCCCGGTGGACGGTTCATAGATGTTTCCCCCTGATTCACACTTTCTAATGAATAAGATTGTAAACAGTATTGGCCTTCATCAGTGGTGATTAGTATATCCGAATAACTTGGGGATTAAGTTACCAGCA